GTTGACTTACTATCACCAGGAGGGAAGGATACTTCTAAACATAAAGAACAAGAACCATGTTATGTTGTGTTATGGTAAACGATTTATTTGTGTTTGAGTGTGTGTGTTTAGTTTTTCTACCTGGAGAGAAGACACTTGGATTAAATCGCATCTCAAAGATGATGTTGCTGACTGAGCCCACTTCTTTACAAGCAGCTCGTACTGCAATAGTGGACCGAGAATCACCTGCAATTATACAGAAATATTTCAATATAATGGCCAAAAGATCCGTAATAGTTGTGATTTTGGTATCAGTTACATCTACTAAATCACTTCTTACTAGCTATTGCACATTCTTCAAAGCCTCCATTCTTCTCCAACAGCTCCCTGACATGCTGAGTGAACTGGCAATGTCTAAAAGAAGAATAAAAAAAACGTCAACCATACAGAAAAGACGTTTTTTGAAAACTGAATTTAAAGTATTTGTTTTTCATATGGAACTCACTTGTGCTCTTTGAAGGCCTGCACCAGCTCTGGCCTCAGTCTGCAGAGTCCGTGAGGGAAGCTCTTGGGAAGCCCAGAGTCTGAGTGATAATTCTCTGGCCACCCTTTTTTGACACAACCCTTCTCCTCCTCGCCCTCTTCAGACTTTTTGTTACTCTCCTCGTCTTCAGTGACTGCCTGGTCTTCTCTCTCAACGTCTGGGCAGAAGTTTGCATCAGCTGGGAAGGTCCTGAACACGTCCAGTATGTAGAACCTCCCATCAGCCCCCAGCAGGCCCTGTGCGTCCATAGAGGTGAACAGTGGTACCTTGTAATTGTTGGACGTCACAACAACATATCTCTGCAGAGAGAGATGTTTGGCCGACACAGCCAAGAGCTCCAGCAGTCGCATGCGCTGGGGGGACTCTTGAGGTCCTGCATTCACCCCGTACAGCAAGCCTCTGTAGAGCAAAATAAGAAAGAATAAGCAGAAAAAAATGAAATATAGACATGATGTTGATACAACACATGTGATGCAACCTTTTAAATAATCCAGCAGCTCTTAAATCATCAATCAAATAACATATTTGTATACTTTGGTATATGAATGGTTACAGGCTGTCTCTGCAATCTAAATACACTATTTTCCTTTTTTTTTTACTTTAATTTTTCTATTTTGTGATGTTTATATTTCATGTTTGTTTATTTTTCAAATGACGTGCAATGCCTTGTTTTAACATGCCGCTGTGATGAAAATATTTCCCAATTTTCAGTAAAAAGAGTTGGAATCATTTCCAAAAAGAAAGACAACTTTAAAGATGAATCTTAAGAATTGTGTAGTTGATTTATTCTCAAAATGTCTATGAAGATCCCAAAATATATTTTAAGTGTGTTTGTGACATTGCAAAGTACCACATTAGACTGTTGAATAATGAGTCCTATACCTTTCGGCAGGAGCAGCTGCCTGGTCCCGGTCTGAGCCCTCCAGCCCGGGGGCCAGACCCTGAGCAGACAGACGAACCCCCCTGTAGTCGACGATGGCTGTAGGCAGAGTGTGAAGACCCTGCAGACCCTCCAGATCACTGTAGGCCTGCACGCCCTGGAGCTCCAGCCTCTGAGCAGCCCTGCAAGTAGAAATGAGGAAACATTTAGATAATCAGGTTCAAATCAATTTCATTCACAGAGCGAAACAAACACGTTTTAATATCATAAAATCAGAGACATAATATTATATTGGGCTAAGACAACCAACATGGATACAACTCACAGCTGTCAAGTTAACATTAAATGATTGGAACAGTTTGTCTGCCAAGTCTTGTTGAAGACTGCGGTGACGCACGCTGAGTACAAGTCTGGCAAAGGGCATGCCGGTACACGGGCATTAAATCATTTCGTGTCACTCAAATGAAATAATTGAATGGGATTTCTGCAACAGCCACAGATCCCAGCCTTTTTTTGGAGAACCTTTGATTCATTGACTGCTTCGCGATGTAAAGGGCATTTCAACAAATCTGACTAAATACGCTTCTTAAATAAATTGCCTAACGTAGCTTTAAGAGCAAATGTCTGTACAATCTTGTAACTGAACTTGTGATCTGCTCTCACCTGCGACCCCTCTCCCCACCGAACATTGTGCTTGCTGCCCCCTGGCTGATGAACAGTCCTCCCCACAGGAAAGCTGGGTCTTCAGTGTTTCCATTCGCTGGCTCCACAAAGCCATCTACAACTGTTTCTGCCCCCTGCGCCACAGCCCTAGCAAATGCGCTGTTGACCTGGAAAACAACAACACAAACACAGGTACGAATGAAGGGACGTGGAGGAGTTTACAGAGGATGTTGAAAGGCCAAAACGTGTCCTGAACTGTCCTGCTGTGGTTTGGCATTCTTTCTTTTTTTTTTAACATTTTTCATTCTTTTAAACAACATAGTTACAAGACACGCATGCCTTAAACCATCCTACACCAAAAATGTGAAAAACAGAGGCAAAGACAAGACAGGACATAATTTGAAAGAAATACAATTGAAATATATAATAAAAAATATACTATATGAAATAAAATAAAAACCAAAACAATTGGGCAGTAGCAACATTATCCTAAAAAGGGTACATTGTCACAGCAGTTTAAGAACTACTTTACTTTCCCTTTCAACCAGATCCCGCTCATGGATTCCTATTGTTCTTATTTCTTAGCATGTTTGACACATTAACATTCATTCCTTCTTTCTTGGTTACCTGGAGCAGCGTTTTGTCTCTCCGCAGCCTCTCCTCGAGACTGCCTTGTGGAAGATCTCTGGCAGCTTGCAACTCCTCATTCCAGTCAGGAGCCTACAGATAATACCACACATAGTTACATTTAATATCACTGCCAGCAGCTTGATACACAATACAAAGTCACAACTTTGCTTTACAACTTTAGTTAGAAATAACCTGTGTTTCCAGCTGATCATCCATTCCCAGTCTGCTGAAGGTGTTCTTGTGGGTGCGAGAGGCGCAGGGAGGCCCGAGCCAGCTCAGGGTGTGGTAGGGAGTGGGCATCACCTCCATCGAAGGCAACTGAGACCTAAAGGAAGAAATACAATAGTTAATATCATCATATAATCATAAATCTCAAGTGAATCATATAATACCATACAACACTCCAAAGCCCTAACTGTTTCAGGATTCTGAAAATATGTATACAGTATATAGTAATGTCACCTGTTTTTAAGTGTAGTCAAAGCTTGTTTGAAGGCAGAGCTGATTTGACAGAGCAGATCAGTTAAACAGTGACAAACTGGGGAGGACTGTGAGGGACGAGGGTCAAACAGTTCCTCTGTAGACCTGAGATGAAGAAGGGGGAAGAGAACATTATAAAAGATTAAATAAAAAATGTATCTTCTTAAAGTCTAATTATTGTGTTGCCATTTATTCCTTCATTTACTCAGATAAAAGAGTACATCACTCTTTTAGAATGAATAAATGTTGTCATATATTATCATTATGAACTGTACCTATAGAAGGGAGATTGTAATTATACATTTAATCTAATATTGTTTCTTTACCTATTGATGAAGAAACCTTTAGGACAGGAAGTGATGTCACACCGCCGTCCCTCCATTGTCACCACGGTGATGTACAGGAAGTCTCCCTGCAGCTTCCTGTGTCCTGGAATCGGGTTCCAACAGCTGAGAGACAAGTCCTTCAGGTAGCTGGGGGCCTGATGAGAAAGAGAGTCAGATAAAGAGAGTCAGCCAGTGTGTGTGTGTGTGTGTGTGTGTGTGTGTGTGTGTGTATATATATATATATATATATATGTGTGTGTGTGTGTGTGTGTGTGTGTGTGTGTGTGTGTGTGTGTCTGGCACAGTGTGAAACGAGGCTCCGGTGGTTACGTACGTCGTGTTGGGAGCTGTGTGGCAGCAGACCCATGAGGGGTCTGTCCAAGGATCCAGGGAGGAGGAACTCAGGCGGAGCTCCATCCTGGCTGCTGGTTTCTGTCTTTGTGTTGCCTAGAGAGCGTTTCGGGCTCTTTCCATTTGGTGAGTCTTCAGCAGTAATGACAGGAGATTATCAAAGTTCATCATCATCACAATAGTAAAGAAAGACATTCATTCAAACTTTATTTACACTTGAGAGAGTAAGTCAATTACAAAAGAAAAGGAAAACAACAACAAAGAGATATACAGAGAGAAAAAGAGCATTCTCAAAATAATAAAATCCATTAAAACGTAGGGATAATGGAAGATGATTTATAGCCAAATAAGGATAATTAAGATGTAAAAGAAAATACAGTTATGTAAAAAGGCCCCAAAATGTTGCATTTAGGGTTGATATTTAAATGTTCAAAAGGTGTAAGAGAAACGATTTTAAGGAGGGGCTGTATTTTGTTGTAAGGTGAACTAATATGAAGAGCAGTTTTTCAAAGCAGAGCTTTTTGTTAATTTTGTATCTCTTTTTGGTTGTCTAAGTGCATTGTGTGTGTGTGTACCTGGTGTTGGTGTGTGTGTGAGTGTCTCCAGTATGCTGGGGGAGCGTCCCTCTCTGAGTGCATCCTGAGGTCCAGGCGCTCTCAGCAGCTCCACCACTCGGGCCAGATGGTGCCTGGCTGAGCGGGCGGTGTAGGGCTCTGAAAAAGTCACAAGGTGGTGTTATAAATGTGACCCTCTCCCTAATGAAACTGTGGACCCTCTTTGTTTTTCTACAGCAAGAATGCACAGGAGAGATTTGATTCAAGATCATTCCGAAGAGTATTATCATTGGATGTCATGATCCCCTTACATGAGTTCAAGACTATTTAGATTGAAGTAATACTAAGTACCATGTAGTCAATGGTGTGAATTCTCACAGACACAAGTCTGAGTCAATATACTGTATCTAATAAAAGATGACGAGGTAGTTGGTTTTTATTGTTTCAACAGCTATCTGGCAAGAAGAAGAATAATTTGTTGGCACAAGTTAATACCTCGTTAAGATGACTCAGAAAAGGTGAGTCAGCTATTTACAATGAGATGAGAGAGTTGTTATTGGGTGTGAAAGGGAGAGGACGATGGGTGTGATGAATATAAGGACTAGAGTAATCTTGTTGTATATTCTGATTCTATAATTAATCATTACACCATTATCCTACATTCAGTTTATGCAGACTAGGACACAGGGGCGGCGCCAGGGGGTAGCTTGGAGTTGCTATAGCAACTCCAACAATTGGCCTAGCAACGGCTTAGCAACCCCATTGTTTTGTTATGAAAATATATCTATATATACTTATACACATTCTCGCGAGATCTATCAGGGGTCGTTTTAAGTTAAAGCGCAAACTGTTACTTGGCTAATGTTGTTATAATTCTCAGTATGTGAACACAGATCGAAAATGGAACGCGATCTCCAATGGAGCGCGTGTGTGTGTGTGCGTGTGCGTGCGCGTGCGTGTGTGTGTGTGTGGAGGTTAAATGCCACAATATGGCAGTTGAAAAAGTGAACGATCGCTATTGTGTACTTGTACGCTCAGGGTGTAATGGTATTATACAAAAATATTGTAGGAGCACAGGTTTCTGTGCTCCTACAATATTTTTGTATAATACCATTACACCCTGAGCGTACAAGTACACAATAGCGATCGTTCACTTTTTCAACTGCCATATTGTGGCATTTNCTAACTTAGAGGAGTGTTTACGTGTTCGGTGTAATGACGTACAACGGCCTCCACGACTTCTGTAGTACTATTCAGCCACTTGTTAACAACCATCGTTTTTCAGACGCGTCAACTCTTTAGAAATCACCAGTGGGGTCACTGCTGATGTATTCAATGTCGTAGAACAAAACGTGATCCGTCTCTTCAATGTGTCTCAACCACAGACCTTATTTCCAGATATTTTCCTAAATCCTATGGAGAAATTGCATTGCTTTTCGTCGAAGGAACCGGCAGTGGTAAAAATGCTAACTTACTTCCGGGTTTTAGGATGCGTCACTGCGGTTCTCTATTGGCTAGCACTCCAACACATTGTGTCCCTAAGTGGTTGACCAATCACAACAGAGCCGGCCAGCTAACCAATCAGAGCAGACTGGGCTCTGGTTTAAACAATCAGAGCAGACTGGGCTCTGGTTTCAGACAGAGGGTGACAAGGGGTGCTGCAGCATGAGAAAAATAAAGAGCTTTTTGAACATTAAAGCATGGAGACACGTCACAGTAGGGACATTTAATACAACTATGAACCTGAACAAGAGCATAGTATGTCCTTAAATACATTGTATGCCTTGTGTTTCCTGCCATGGATGGTTGTTATTATGCAGCGTATACGGCTGAAGGGCCAAGATAAAAGTCACATACTCCAGTGAAAACCAATTCCATATTCGATTAAGCAATTGTGTGTGTTGCTTTTGTTTTATGCATGAGCATAGCTTGTTCTGAAATCACGTCCTGCTTAGTGAAATAGCCTCCGCTGTCTCCCAGGTGTCCTCGCGCCTTCCCAACAGCAAAGAAAAAGTCAGGGATGAGGTCATTTTGATAGATGGCACAAATCATATTCTTGATTAAAACACACGTTTCATATTCACCTAGCAAGACGCCACAAGATCAATCCAAACAGCAACGCTCTGACAGAAGACGGCATAAACACCACCTTGTTATATTCACATCTAAAAATGACAGCCTTGCCTTGCAACAGTGAATATGCGGAGAATAAATACATCTTTGTTAAACCAGCAGATCACTTCTGAAGCCCAAACAAGTAAAGGGCCTCAGAAAGACGGCTTATCAAATATGTGAAGAAAGGTAGAAGAGTCATGATGTTAAATGTCATGACGCTTACATAAAAAATGTACTAGTAACCTCAATTGGCGATAAAAAAAAAGGTGATGAAACGATTTAATTACATATTAGAATTCTTTCAATATTTTTTATTACAGAAAGTGCAAAGTCTGCGTTTCCAGTTCACATCAGATCAATTCAGGCGTTATAAGCTACAGAGGAGGCAGCTAGCAAATCTGTCAAACACGCAATGTAAATCCAACCAGTGACGTAGCGCTGTGGACAGCTAGGGGCCGCATTCTTATTTATGGAGCCATAAACCCACCGTACACATCTCCTACACGTGTGTGATAGTGTAGCGCGTGGAAGAGCTGCTTTATGGTGCACACCGTAAACACTCATGAAGACACAAACAAGTGAATAAAGGGAAAGCTCACACGGGTCGCTCACAGAAAATGACCAACACAAGGTGACCGGAGAAAAGTGGATGCCGCATCCAGACCTACAGCGAAGAATTGGCAATCATCAGAGAGCCACAGCAAAGAATTATGGGATAGAAAATGTGGGCCCTAGGGGAGGTGTGTTAGGCTGATGGGGACAGAGAGGGGGAAAGAGAGAAGGGGGGGGGGAGACAGTCGTCACTAAAGTGTGAATGACACCGCAGACAGCTGTGAAGAGCCAGATAAGAACGAAGCGGGGGAATGAGAACGGACGGCGAGCTGGCGGAGAGAGGAAGAAAGTGACAGAGTTTGATAGGAAGGGGATCATAAAGAAGCAGATAGAGTGAGCAGATAAAATACGAGAGGAGACGGAGAGATTAGGGGAAAGACAATAGGCCTGAATGGATGTGCTGTAAGGACAAGCTCAGGAAGAAAAAAAAAAAAAAAAAGAACAGTTTGTCAGTTTAAAGGACCGAGTTGAGTTAAGCTTATTTAGTTCAAGTATAAGTGTTTATTGTACACCGGTAAATGTGTGTGCCCGTGCATGTTTCTGTGTCTGCGGTGTTGTGTTTGTTGACTTGTGAAGCCCTCTGAGATAAATAGGATTTGTGATTTTGGGCTATATAAATAAACTTGAATTGAATTGAATTGAATTTAAATCATTCATAAATACATATCCATGCATTTTCTGCAAACACACGTGTTGTCAAACATCCAGAGATCTAAAGCCTGCCGTTTCAAAATGAGCAGCAACAGGTGCCGTCATTCAAAGCCCAGTCTGGAAAAGACATGTGGAGCGCATTTAGATTAAATTAGATGAATACATGTTTCCCACAAATGATTCTTTATGCATAAACAAGTTACACATACATTAAAAATATAATGTAAAATTTAACACAAACAGTAAATACACATATTGACAGTAAAGAAATATATATAGTTTTGATCAAGTATCTATATCAGGGGTGTCAAACTCAAGGCCCGGGGGCCAAATCCGGCCCGTGACTTCATTTTCTGTGGCCCCACAAGAGCTTGCAAAGAATATCATATGTTTGTTATACGGTTACATGATGATTTACTGAAGCACGTTGCCCATAAACTACATGTCCCACAATGCATCTCAAATTTGACTTTTTTCTCAGAATTTGACTTTTTTTCTTCTAAATATGCCTTTTTTCTTAGAATTTGACTCTTTTTTTTAAATGTTACATTTTTTGAAATGTCACATGACTCTTTTGTCGTCGGTCTAGTCACGTACGCGACGTAGCAGGTTAGTCACTAGCTATGTGTCAATTCCCCCGCCCCGCTCACAGTCTCCTAAAGTGGCCTCCTACCAGACACCAAGGGCTAATAGCGAGGAGCAATAGCGAGGAGCTAGGAGCTAGGAGTCGGAGACCGTTTTTATTCCGGTGCGATGGAGTTCTACCGCGTCTGTTTAGTGAAGGCCACTATGGCTCGGGCTCCTCGCCTCCTTTACTCTGTATGTGGCGTTCAGCTCTGCGTGAGGTCTCGATAGCCACCGACATTCAACGCGATGTTACTGTGTTTATAAAGTGAATCACTTGTTTGCACGATGACAAAGTCTTTACGTTTTTTTGTGTCACGGAAGAAGGGGTTGAACTGTTTGTAAAAATTTTTTGTAAGTATAACCAACCGTAGACAAAGTATTAACATACATAAATACAGTCATATAAACTTGACTGGATCCAATTTCGTTATAACGTGTAAAATATATTACCAACAAATTTATATGCAGGTATTAAATCCGAGATTAAGAACTATACAAATATAAATAACAAATACAAAATGAAATACTATAAAATACTATAAAAATGGAGCATGTTTCGGAAACTTTTTTACGACGACATTGGTTTATTCATTCTTATTCCCTAATTATTTGATTTAGACGACAGTAAATTAGAGTAGAAAATATCGGACCTCCCATTGTCAATATAAATATAACACATATGGTATAGTTCCCACAGTTTGAGTTAAATTAGCGCCCGCTGGTGTAGTCGTAATCCCGATTGTTGAGTTTCCCGCCAACATTGAAATTCTGATATATTTTTATGTATATAATTATATATATTATTTTATTACATAATATAATGTAGTAAGTAACCTAATAATAGTCTATCCCATTATTGAAGTATTAATTGATGCAGACTTTCGTCTTCAGACCCCTTTTATTAACGTTCAGAGAAGTCATTCTTACATTGTTATACTAAAATTTTCTTTTCGATTTAAGNTAAGTTAAAGCGCAAACTGTTACTTGGCTAATGTTGTTATAATTCTCAGTATGTGAACACAGATCGAAAATGGACCGCGATCTCCAACGGAGCGCACGCGCACGTACGTGTGTGTGTGTGTGTGTGTGTGTGTGTGTGTGTGTGTGTGTGTGTGTGTGTGTGTGTGTGTGTGTGTTAAATGCCACAATATGACAGTTGAAAAAGTGAACGATCGCTATTGTGTACTTGTACGCTCAGGGTGTAATGGTATTATACAAAAATATTGTAGGAGCACAGAAACAGTGTTCAAATGTTGCTTTTACAAACTTATTTTGGTTGTGCTTACCTTGCAAAGTAATGTTTTAATGTAAATATTAATGATAATATTGTAGCGTGTCCAAGTTAATAGTTATGCCAGTTATCAGATGTGCACAGTTTAGTACATTTGTAAAGTTATTTAGAAAATGTTGTTGGTGGGAGTTAGGCAAAGACCGTCCCTTCCAAGGCTCGTGATCTGTAATCTTGAATAGCGGTGAACGAATATGAACAGGCTTGTGCTTGGCCCACTGGTATTGTTTGTTTATTTAGAAAATTAACTAGCAACGCCGTGCTGTCATATAGCAACTACTAAGCTACTGCAGCAAAAAAATCCTGGCGCCGCCCATGCTAGGACACATGGGGACGTGCAGGAGAGCATAAACAGTATTGGTAAAAGTACAAAGAAAAACTAAATACATTCATTGTTAGTGTTCAAAAGCTAAAACTGCTTAAAATAAGGGCACTCATTGATGAATATCGTGATAAGATTGTCAATTATAATAAATCAATTATAAAGTGTACTTAGATCTGCCTTTCTGCTGCTTTTATTATAGTGCAAAAATACAACAAAATGGTTTTTGAACTAAATAAAACATTCATTTTTGAACATTGAACTGGACATAAAAAGCAGCATTAATTGGGATTATAGTTACATATCATCGAGACAGTAAGATGAAAAATGATATATTGGGCAGCCCTATTTAAAAATGTATTAGTAAGTCATTTAATACAGCTTGAGTATGCAATTATGCTGCCAGGCAAATTTAAAAAAAGAAATCCCCCCCAAAAACATGAAATACTGACATTACAGTTATTAAGGAAAATAATACAAAAGTATAGATTGGACATAAAGCAGAATGAAAAGAGAATTCTCAGAGTATAATACCTTCCACCAGGCGAATGATGGCTCCTGGCTTAAGCCCCTTTAGGCTTTGCAGTTCTGCAAGCGGGTCCAGAGTCGTACCAGCGAGCGCTAAAGACAAGTTGGAACGGGGACACACCTCATCCTTCAAAAGCAGAGTCATTACTGCATCCTGAACAAGCCAAAAGCCATGGACCTACAAAGACACATAATTACACTCAGAAAGAAGAACATACCGAATATAAAACTGTTATGTATAAGTATAGTCTCTGAAAAATGGTGTCAAATTATTATAACAAAGCAGTGAATAGGAGGAAATTGCAGTCTAGTTGTGTACCTGCAAGTCAAATGGCTCTACTCCTGCTCCTTGGATCTTCACAGGGAATGATGTGTCCTCAAGTTGCTTAATACCAACAGCATCTTTTCCACCAGTCGGGCTCACTGCATCTGTTTAAAGGAGAAAAGCAACCAAGTTAGGAATTGCACTCGACAAGAAAATAGTTGAGGTTGTTTTCCTGCCTTCAACTCATTACATGCTTGGATTGCTTCCAGCTCACTATTATAATAATAATAATAATAATAATAATACATTTGATTTATATAGCACACTTTAAAGACAAACGTCATCTCAAGGTGCTTCACAAAGCTATAAAGGAAAAATAAGTAAAAAGATATCTAAAAGGAGCATATTGGATAAAAAATGACAATATAAAAAATAAAAATAAAAGGTTAAGAGCATAAAAGGTTTAAAAATAAATAAAGTAAAGGACAGTCAGTAAAATGCAATATTCATCCTGAAAACCTGCCTTGCTGTAGAAAATACTTGAGTATCGGAATGAATGGAAGAATGAATGAATTATGTTCAGATCATCTGTTGCCGCAGAGACAAGTGTGCTGATCTCCCCTACATTATCATGAGCTTAACTACAGAGTCTGTGTGTGTGAGAGTGCCGGAGGGTTAGGGCAAAGTATGCAAGAAACTTCCCTAGAGAGAAAGTGGGGCGTGCCTGCTTCATAACACACACGCAGAACCAGAGGGGGAGCAGGTTGTAGCTTGTTCCTTAAGCTGCAGTGTGACTAAACCTGTTGAATTTCCCTATGAGTCTTTATGTCATCTCAGCGTGAAGGGACAACCACACCCAGCGCTGGCATGTGGAGACAGCAGGATGCCAAAACACCGATAAACATATATAAACCTAGAGCTTGACGGTAGAGCATGCTTAGAGTCATGGATGCATGAACATAAGCCTGCTGCTAGATTTCATGTCAGTCTGGGAAAAGCACCCAAAAAAGAGTTTCTCTGTTCATGATTGGTTGGAATAAGTTCCCTCCTCTCTAAGGGCAAGGAGCCATCAGCCTCTTTTCTACTGAAGCCTTACTACTACAGAAAGTAGCATTGTTTTCAGGCCTGGAGAGTTTATTTTGCTAATAATTTCTGTGGTTAGTTTGTACCATAAAAGTGGTAGAATTTAACATCATCATGCAAGAGGTCTGATCTCACCTGAAGAATGGTTATCACACTCTTCCTGAATTCAATCATTCTGTCTCATGAAGGGTTAAAAAGGTTCAAACAAGGTGAAAGACTCACTTGAAATTATAGCAAAGCATAGGTAGTTTAGGCTGTTGACGTTTCTAGTTTTGGAGAAATATCATACAGAGATTTCAATAAAAGCTTTTATTTGTCTTCTCTCTCCATTAACAATCTTAGCCTAGAATTTACAGTTTGTCTAAGGTTTTCAGGTTGGTTCGGCATTTGTCTCTGTGCATACATTCGTCGTAAAAAGTTAGAACAGCAGACCAGATTGGACCAGATCTTCCAGTGGTTAAAAAGTTGGTGAAAGCAGACAACAGCACCAGCCATGTTCAGGGCAGCAGTGCAGTGCTAAATCTCCCCCCTCCTCACATTCTCCAGCGAGAGAGGCAGCAGGCGAAAAAAAGAAGGAAGAGGAAAATGCAACAACAAGAGACACAAAGAGAGAAAGAGAAGCAGAAAAGAGAAAACATTGCAGGGATTTCTCACCAGTCTTGGAATGATTTCTTCCTCCTCTCCTCACTTTGTCCTTCATGGCTGCGTGTTTTAGTTTTTCTTGAGCTGTACTCTTGTGTTTTGACTTCTTTGTGCTAGCAGACGCTTCTCCTTTAAAAAAAAAAGTCTTGCTTCAAACTACTGGATGAAGGCACACAGAGTGAGAGTGAGAAGAGAAGTGCAGCTGGATTGTTGAGAGAGCCCAGCAGAGTGAAAGTAAACGTCTGTCTGGTGAGGATTTTGATTCCTGCCCCTCTCTCTACAAGGAAAACGCAGCTTATCTGTTCTCCCTGAGTGAAAAAGCCACACCCTCCTATTGCTCCACACAGAGTCATTACTCTGTGTGTCTCTCAAACTTTGTTGGACTGGGTGTGTCCACACACACACACACACACACACACACACACACACACACACACACACACACACACACACACACACACACACACACACACACACACACACACACACACACACACACACACACACACACACACGCCACTCTTGACTTGAAGTACTTCATACTACAAATGTTATTTTGTGAATCACATGATTTTATGATAACAGAGGGACCGCTATCTAACTAAACACTATCAGTCTAATCTAAGATCAAAGCGGTTCCTTCGGGTGAATACTGTTTGTTACACTCATGATGAAGGCTGTCCCGAGACAGTTAACCTGCCACAATTGGGTGTGCCTGTCTCAGGATATAGTGGCTCTGTAGTTGTTGAGAGGCCTTCACCTTGTACATTCACATTGCACACATACCTGGGCATATCTCAGTGCAAACCAAACATAGATTGATTACTGGGTATGGCGGAGCAAGTCACTTCTTTGGTATTGCTAAAATGCCATGCTGTATTGATTTACATTCCTCCTAACATCTACATATACAACATGTTAAGCCCTGGTATTAGTTACCTATCAGATAAAAGACAGGAAAGTTTAGCATGCATCAGTTCGAAACACACACCTACTTATTCCTGCAAGTGCTCGACATAACATGGATATTACAGTTGAAAAAACGACATACAATTCTCCTTTAGACAACCACAGGCATAAGCCTATATTTTGGTTCATAACAATGTAACACAGCTACCACACAACAATCATTCAATTCACAATGAATGCATTGATGTAGAAATGTTACAAGTTAAGTTTACCTTCAACTACATTGTTGAAATCTGAACTTTGTACGCCTCTCGTGTTTACTGCAGAAAAACAGTAATGAAACTCATAGCAAACGTCAGTTTAATAGGGGGCGGCGGCCTGGTGATGTTGTGTGGTTTCATGTTGCCTTTAAGTGTTCCTCGTAAATGTACCTTTTACACAGGATGGTTGGGTTCTTGTGTGATACATGTTTAAAGGTGGTTTTTGAAGACTTCTTGACAAAGGATTATTGAATAATAAATGTATTAATATATTAAGAATATTATTTATACAAAAATGATGTTTATACCCTTTATTTCTTCCGTTAGCTTGGTCGTTAGTTAACGTCCGTCTAGTAGTTCTGATAATTCCGAGCGCACAGAAACACGGCATCGTTTGACAGGAGGCTGTCCTTTACTATCCGAGCTAGCATGGACGAGCTAACCAGCATTTCACACCCTTTGCATTAACTGCGAAGTTATCGGTGAGTTTATGTTAACGACTGATTGTGATTATTGCTATATGATCCAAAAAACACCAAAACCTGAAACGGAAAGCATAACTAGAGTCCCTTCTAGCCATCGTCATTTAGCTAACGTTAATTAGCTAGCAACATCCCTTGGTGATGTGTTGTTGCATCCCTTTAAATACAAAATAAACCGCTGTAAGATGTAAACATTAGGTCGTTCTGTTTAAGATTATGTAAGAAAGTTAGGCTAACTTTTAGGCTAAAAGTAACTAAGTAGAAATATTCAAATACTGTACTCAAGTACAATTCTGAGAGACTTGTACTTCACTTGAGTATTTCCATTTGTTGTTACTTCGACTCCACTACAATTCAGAGGTACATTTGTATACTTTTCCTCCACACATGATTAATGATGTGAAATATAAACAGCACTTAAATAAGAATTTAGTTACACTTGGAGTAAATTCACAAGCTCCCCTGCAGCATACAGTAATACAGTTACCTCTACCTTTACCAGACTTGATCACACTCTATACTCTAATGCATCAATAATTATAATTTGAAACATATGATATTATTCTGAAATGGGCCAATCTGCATAATAAGTACTTTTTACTTCTGTTACTTTATGTATATTTTGATGGTACTTCTGTTGTACTTTTACTTGAGTAACATTTTGAATGCAGGACTTTACTTTTAACAGAGCATTCCTACACTATGGTACTTCGACTTTTACTTAAGTACAATATCTGAGTGCTTCTTCCACCTCTGGTGCTGACTAACTGTACATACATAAACCTAACTTATAAAGCATCCCTTGTGTGATTTAACGATACATATAACTGTAACCTGTTTATATTCTTCATTGACTTAGAGGTTTCTCAGCTAAGGAGCTATCAGTTTATTCTGAGACCTGCTGAGATTAGATACATGTTAAGGTTAAACCGCTCCGTTTGCTGCAGGTATCACTAGTCAATCACTTGAAAGCTTGTCGGGCTACATCATATTTTATGTAATAGTAACAACAGCTCCTTTCTGTTATTACAGGTCCTGTGCTTTTGCGGCCCCCCCTTCCCCTCTCAGGTCAGAGCTGAGGGTTGGGGTCAGCTCCTTGGCTAATGTCGCACGTTCCCAGTGAAGAGGGGGGTCTATCTGAGGCTGCCCCAGATGTCAACAACCAAGACCTGCTAGATAACCCTGCTCAGAAAACAGGGAACGCACCTGAGGATCAGGTGAGGGAGCGTGTGTGATTTTTGCCAGTGGGTGTAACACAGTTGTTTCCTGTGGCTTTATAATTGGGTTAGGGTTCAATTATGATTAACATGACTGGCTGGATTAAATTGAGGTAAAGGGAAACCCATTAATGTGTAAAACACTTTAACACAGGCATACAGACCTTGTGCATACTTTACAAAGAGTGGTATGACCAATTTCATAACAAAAATACAAGTTGAAACAGAAACATTTGACTTTATTTTGAAAAAAAAGCCTCTATTGCGGTAATTGAGAATTAGTCATCGACATCTTTTATCTCAAGAATAATTTTGAAATCCATAATGCTAGAGAGAACGAAGACCCAGTCTAACTTTTCCGTTTTTTGAGCCTCAGAATTGATCAAGTCAATGTAAATGGTTTATCTAAGCTCCTATCCTCATTCCACATTGATCAGCTGTATGGATAAAAGAACACCCTGTTCTCTCCAATAAGGTCCAAATCTCAACCCTGGACTAGGCTGATCTGTGATCAGGGAAACCCTTTAGAGGTTTAAGCTACTGTTGACAATTGTATAGAAGAAACAGTGTACCTTTTAATAAACAACAACATCAACCTTGAAACCCTCTAAAGTTTCAAGGTCATGCTAGTATTAAAATTCTCTGTCGCAAAAGTAGTGATAGAAAAATTATTTATTCCTCTCAAATGAAAAAGTGTGTAGATTTGTTGACTAACGCAAGTAGTAACCAAATCCAGTTGTCACATGACATATTGTAATGAGTCTTAAAAAAAGCATGTCCTTGTGTCCTCTCAGGCAAAAATAGCAGCTGCACTTTTCACCTACTGAACGATAGTAGGGCAAAGTAGAAATGAAGGTGCTATGGATGCAAGTCACATACTGTCCCTCTGTAGTTATGCACACGTTGTAAATGTTTGCATACAGAACCTAGTCCAGGCGAGAAAATCAGCATGGTGTCTAGGGCTGGTGTCAACTTGTGTCTGTCTCTCAACGCGATAATGTGGATATATATGTAAATAATCCATTAATAGCATTGTATTGTTTTCCTAAAAGTCAAATACCAAATGGACTTTGAATGTTGCATGTCATGTATGCAGAAAGGAATGTTTGCAAGGAGATAAACCAGTTTAATTTCTGAGAGAAGGTGTCATACTTCTCAATCTTTTTTTTTTTTTAAATCTGTACACCTGTTGTGTGTGCACATCGGATAATTGATTTGGCAGCTGATTTGGCAATGTGTGAATGTGGGTGTATGTTGTTGTGTCAAGCAGTGGTAGGCTCTCTTTCAACACACTGAAACAGAAGCGGCAGTGAAGGACCAAATGGGTTACTTGCAGCATTGTTTGTGATAGTTAGATATTCAGTAGCAAAAGGTTGTTTACAAGCTGTAGCTGTATCAGTTGTGGAAAGAAGAAGAGGCGGCTTATAGAAGAGGAAAGAATAAAACAGGGCTTTGTCCGCCCGACCAAGGGGAGGCCTGATCCTTTTCTGTCCGACTCTCCTTCGCTTTCTCTCATGGTCTCAGGTTCCTCAGTAGGAACTTAATGGAAGGGCTCAGAATAAGCTTAGATTTCTTTATTTACTTATCCTGGAAGATGCAGAGTTGAGCAGTGGACAGGTGTAGATACAGGTGTATATAGCAGGCATTTGCTTTTTACTTAGGAACAGAGAAATATTGCTGATGGGAAGAAGAAATATTGATTAAGCATCATTCTTCCTCAGGTGCCGCATGTGGTGGATGAGGCCTCTCCTTCTTCCACATCTTCATTTGAGCTGCTGGACATGGATTCGGCCCCAGCTACTTATCGAGAAGTGCAGCCTCACTGGTTCTTCTGTCCACGGGGCGAAGATAACACAACGTGGCTTCCTTTCAGCAGAGAAGACTCCGACAAACTAGAGAACGCCCTCAACACTGGTGAGCAGCTTGTGTATATACTTTACATGTACAAAATATATCGTACATGTCTAATTTGGTATGTGAAAAGTAAGTAAATAGGGAGTTTGCTGCTTAAAGATAAAATATCAACACATTACTGTTGTTAACACCGGCCTGGTACCCAGTAGGAAGTTTAAGGTGCTTCTGTTTCACGAAGTTTCAAGGTCAGCCTCTTTATGATTGATATTTAGATCATTTCAGATTTGACGTCTGTGATATTCATATTAAAAGTCTTAGAGATCCTTTTTTGTAAAAACAACACATTGTGGTATTAATCAGACAATAACCATTGTTGTCTTTGTGTGAGATCTTCTTTTCAACATATTGAGCTTCTACTGTCCAGTGATAATCATACACAGCCATTACCTAAAGGGAAAATATACAACAACAAAAAACAGTAGTGATTAATTTCCAAATAATTGGAAAACATGATTTCCCAAATATTCTATAGGGAGTCAACCTGTTAAGCCCCACGGACCCGCCGAAGGGGCCGAAACCACAACATCTGCAAGAAACAGTGTCTGAGGGCTTCTTAAGATTTAATAAACTATTAATGTTTCATATCCATGTAACGGGAAGAAACTCAGTGAACTGATGATATGAACAATTTTTAGCAAAAAAAAACACAAGACTAACGCTGAGCCTTTGAATTAGCCCTGAGCGAAAAAATGCTAACGCCGTTAGCACAGAACTCACGGTATAAACACCCTTATTACTTATCGTAACTGCACATCCAACCCATTGATTAGCATCGTGAGATATTAATTGTATTGAGAGTCTACTAACCCATCATCCAAGGGTGGTTTTCACTATAAGTAATGCAAAAACAGACACCACAACACGTAGCATTAGGTAGCAAAAGACGGCACATTTCTTACCTTAGCTGTTATTCTGATCAAAAGTTGTCTTCAATGGCATTACAATGATAAAAACGCTGCTGAAGGTTAATCCAATATGTCTGTGTCACTTTGAAATGATAAGATAGGTATAGGTACGCATAGCTCTCATTTCTCAATGGTAACGTGTTTGTGTGTGTATCTGGAGATTTGCCTTCGATTATATTGGCTCTAACGGTTCAAAAGAGATGTCTATCATCAAAACCGACCAATGGGTTCCAGAGAAACGGCAAATACACCCATTTCCACCCAAATGACCCCAGTGGTGGAGTTTTATTTGCTAAACCTCTCTAAAAAGGTCAAATGTCACTTGTTTTGCATCAATCTTGATACAGGGTACTTATTATATGTTGTGCTTTGGATTCCTAAAGCTTTTAGTCTACTAACCCATCATCCAAGGTTAGTTTTCACTATAAGTAATGTTTTTATTTTGGGCAGACACTATAATTTAAATTGTTTTACTTTGTTCAATCTGAATTTTCTTTAAAATAAAAAAACATCTATATTGATTTTGACTTTTCTACATCCAACTCACAGGTTTATCATTACTTTGAGAAAAAAGATTATTAATTTACCCGATTTAGAAGTGAAGTTATTGTCATTTGTTGTGGAAATGTCATACCTGAAAAACAGGCTTGGGGCTTAACAGGCATACTAAGTTATTGCCTTTGACAATACAAGTGTTCCTTTGCTCATAATCCTAAAGATGATATGTCCATATTATTCCAGGAGAGTTCACTCACTGTATCATCCTGGTGATGCTGCTGCAGAAGACATTTAAAAAACGTTATTAAGACACAGTATTTGGAGAGTGTCTTATAAGCCCCTTGTTTTGGCTTGTGTGTGTGTGTGTGTGTGTGTGTGTGTGCAGTTGGAGACAAGGAGGGGGATGAGGTGGTGATAGCTGTGGATGGAGAGCGGTATGACGTACATGTCAGGGAGAGGAAGCGCTACGCTGTGTATTGGGAGCAGGGTCCCACTGAAGTACGCCGCTGCTCCTGGTTCTACAAAGGAGACAAAGACACCAAGTTCATGCCTTACCCCGAGGACTTCTGCAAGCGCCTGGAGGTATTTCACACTGAAATAAAACTCTTTCACACACATACAACAAAGAACATAGGGCTTTACAATAGTCAAACAATCAAAACAAAAGAGACAAAACTCAATTAAAAAAAAATATATCGTATTTCTTTCTTTTACTTTCTGTTGGCTAATATAACTTAATGTTTAAAACTGTGTCTTGCAAAGGTTGCCCATCTCTGTGTCTTTTAAGAGGCTGGCACCGCGGGAAATGTAGTCTTTTATACTTCCTTGACTACAGAGGTCACGATTAGGTGACAATATTTGGCACTTTTTACAAAACAGAAGACTGCTCTAACACTGCTTACTCCTAAATCTTCTGATTTTATTCTCTTCCTACTTTGCCTGTTACTATTTACTTTTTTAATTGCTGTTTGTCTTTAATTCCTTCCTCTCCCTTCCTCCAATTTTTCAGGAGGCCTATATGGTTGCAGTCACCTTGAATGAATGGAAGACGAAGCTGGAGTTTCCCTCTGGAGAAACTGTCATCTTACACAATCCCAAAGTAAGGCCACACCAGGGCTTTTATGTACATATATTTAGTTAGGTACATTGTTTTCTCATTGTAAGCCTCTTCTCCTTCATTTCCCTGCTCCAGCTGATAATGCAGTATCAGGCAGTAGGATTGCAGGATGAGTGGCAGTCGTCCCCCTCGGAGCAGACCCGGCCTCGCACACTCAAAAGGGGAGTGGGCAACATCACTGTAGAAATACCTGAAGGTGTGTGTGTGTGTGTGTGTGTGTGTGTGTGTGTGTGTGTGTGTGTGTGTGTGTGTGTGTGTGTGTGTGTGTGTGTGTGTGTGTGTGTGTGTGTGTGTGTGTTTTAACTACAAAATAATCATATTCAGAATTCCTTTATTAGTCCCGCAGCAAATGTACAGTGTTACAGCAAAAGTGGCATAGCAGGTAGAAAATTAGTAATACAATAAAAAATAAAGACAGTACAACCATGGCTTAAAAAATGAGTAGCAGCAATACAAAAAAAACAAAGTGACATAAGTAACATATTATGGTGTTCAGACCTTATAAAAAATGTATATACACATATTGGGACATTTATAAATAATGTATGTTCTTCACATACAAGTGATTATTGCACAATACAATAGCAAATAAAAGTGTCTATATTGCACATTGCAGGTTTGTAAGATTGCATCAGTCTGTATTGTGTGGGGGTCTACCAGGGGCTCATTACATAAGGTATACCTACAGTTTACACTTATTTCTGTGTGTTCCCAGGTGAACCAGAAAAGGTTGACCATCTAGTCTTTATGGTCCATGGCATCGGCCCGGCATGTGACCTGCGCTTCAGATCCATCATACAGTGTGGTAAGTGTGAGCTGGTCTGTGTGTGTATTGTTGTTTATATGCATATATCTATGTGTATGTAGGACTTTATTGTTTTAAATGTCTCTCCAGTAAATGACTTCAGGAGTGCTTCCCTGTCCCTCCTGGGCTCTCACTATAAGCGCGCCCAGCAGGACGGACAGGTAGGGAGGGTGGAGTTCCTCCCGGTGAACTGGCACAGCGCTTTACACGGAGATGCCACTGGTGTGGATGAGTAAGTATACAGACAAATACACATCTACATTTTGTTTGTATTCAAATCGTTTCTACAATGTTGTTTACTGATTTTATTAATGCATTATACACCAAAGCTAATTCCTTGTATGCCCAAACCTGCTCTGCAATAAACCAAATTCTGATTCTGAGATTGACAAAACAAGATCACTCTGATGCATTAAAAATAATAATAATAGTATTTAAAATAACTTTATTTTGCAGAAATTAACATAAAAACAGGGATAAAATGCCGAATGATAAGATAGAGATAATAGATGAGATAACATAGAATACATATAGTGCATCAAATAAGATAGAATAATAAATACATTTAAAAATGATCCAATTAGTAGCCATATTTGCAGTTTACACATAAACATAAAAAAATTGAAGCAACATATTTTCTGCATCGGTGGGGTAGATTTACATTTGACTCTGAAAGTAGTCGGCCTTCAGTGCACTCTCTACCAATTGGCACCAGTCTCTGAGGCTATAAATAACAACAGCGCCACATTTTTCCTACTGAAGAATACTTGCAGAAAACGTTCGAACTCTGTGTTCCCTCCCTTCCCCCACTTTCAGGGACATCCAGAGGATCACGCTGCCGAGCATCAGCAGGCTAAGACATTTCACCAACGACACTCTGCTGGACCTGTTTTTCTATAACAGCCCCACCTACTGTCAGACCATCGTGGACACAGTGGCCTCAGAGATCAACAAGCTCCACACCCTCTTTAAACAGAGACACTCAGGCTTCAACGGAGCCATTTCAGTGGTGGGCCATAGCCTGGGTAGGACATGTACAAAGTCAAACACACACACAGTCACAACAAGTCATTCAAAAGCTGAAGTTCCACTCTTTCCTTTTATCTCCTCAGGTTCTCTGATCCTGTTTGACCTGTTAACCAATCAAAGGAATGGATCAAATGCCAGACAGGGGGTACGATCACATTCATGGCTAAGATATACCATCTGTAAACAGATAAAAAGGAATGTGAATAATAAAATCCTCTCCACTTTCTCTCCCTTCCTTTGCTTTAGGTTCTCTCTGGTGAATCCTTGCACCACGACACGCTGCAGGACACTCTGACCAGACTGGGCCTGCAGCAGTACCTGGACACACTGCAGGCAGAGAACCTAGACCTGGAATCATTGGTAATGCCCAACACACACACACACTGGACATTGGTGTATACATGTAAGTGTAATCCAAAGTTAGAAACGTATGGATCTTCTCTTTTAGGCTCTCTGCCAAGACTCTGATCTCAAAGATTTAGGAATTCCTCTTGGCCCTCGGAAGAAGCTCCTGAACTACATCAGAAAGAAATGGCTTTCAGAGGTCAGCTTGAACGTATACAGGGTTTTCTTGTTTTGGAAAATATGACCATTACGACCTTGTTATGTTGGGGTAACTGTGAAAACAACATTGTTTTATTGGGCTAATTTCTTTTATGGCCAGTTCCCCCTTTGCTTGAGGGCTCTCTTTCTAATTATTGGCAACTATATCAAGTTTCTCCAGTTCAGATTTCTTTGAAAAAACTTTTTATGTCTGTCTTTATTAACACTTTTTTCCTTGCGTCACTCGATTTCTGCTTCATCTAATATCATAATTGTTCTTTATGTACATCGTAATGTTTATGAAATCAATTAGGTTTGATCTTTAAATTGTACAGTAAACGATAAAAGGGGTCTGTGGGAGCAGAAACATGGGGCGGGGTATAGTGCATCTGAGATTTATTGCATTTAATATGATTAAAACACCCTGTGCAAAAAAGTATTAACTTTTGGTGTATTATTTCAATAGGATAGTAAGAACCGTGCTGGACGTCTGCCTCCAGGAATACAAGTTCAGCCTGAAGGTAGCAGCGATCAAGATGGTAACCAATCTTCAGCAGCGTCTAAGAGGAGGGCTCACTTCCACAGGGCGCAGTCCGTCACCAGTGCTGTAGAGTACGAATACTTCGACGTCGGCATTGGACAGGTACCACACATGGACAGTTTTGGACACAGACATAAATAAACATGTTATTAGGAGTACCGCTAGATAAAAGCTTTGATGCATCATCTTCCTGCTTCTCTCCTCCGCCCGCTTGCCCGGACAGACCAATGGAGGCATAGCCAAGGGACAGGTGTGTCTCACAGGGCGTTCCCATGCTCTCAGGCTTTGTCCTGTTATGATCTCACTGTGCCTGGGGGTTCTTTTCACCTGCATCTGGTCAGGGAAAAATTAAAAGAACTTGAATTATAGTGGATTTTCTATGAGCAATAGGGTTTCCATGGCTAAGTCACATTGTTTCCTGACTGAAGCTACCATTTCGTCCCAGTCGTTCAACACCACACCCTGTGTCTGTGCTCATCCAGTCCTGCATGAATGCTCAGCTCCGTGGTCTCCACTTTCCTACTATCATACTGCCCGGTTGTTGTCTTCAAGTCATGAATGGTAGTTTGAATGTTGAATGTAAACACCATACTGCCCCCAAGTGAGTGTTTCATCTGTCTCAATAGCTGTGTTGTAAAACCAAAAAAACATTTAATAACATATTTTTCCAACCCAATCATCTCTTCACAGGTATCCATCAACTACCCACAGCTGGCTTTCCATCCGCAAACATTTTTTGCTTTTGGCTCTCCGATTGGGATGTTCCTGACTGTGCGTGGGCTGAAACACATTGATCCCAATTACAGCTTCCCAACCTGCAAGAGCTTTTACAACATCTACCACCCGGTGAGTAATCACATATGAACTGCATCTGCCCTTTCAAGCACACTCACTCCCACAAAGGGAAAACACCTGGTTTGAAATGCCACAGCCTTAGATTGACATTTTTCATGCCCGCTTCAATCTAAAAGGCATTAAGGAAGCATCTCTTAACGTTTAAAACATGTTTTGCATTGTGGAGCGATGATAACATATTTAACCACAGCATTAAATCAACATAATTAGAAGAATACTACTTAGTTTCCCCATTATTTAATAATTAGACGATTAAGAAAAACAGACTTTTTGCATTGTAAACATGTACATGAGATCGAAAAACTTGCATTAAAAAGTAAAAACAACCAATATAAAATGATCTCATAGTGGGTCGACTATTAAAAGTGACATGAATCTGTTCCCCTTTATGGCTGTGTAGTTCGACCCTGTAGCCTATCGGATAGAGCCCATGATTGTGACAGAGGTGGATCTGGAGCCCATGCTGATCCCTCACCATAAAGGCCGCAAGAGAATGCACCTGGGTGAGGCTGTCTGTTCCTCTTGTCTTTGTGGAGCAATATTGGGGTGTGGTCTTTTGTTTAATGATGAACTCTGTTTCTGTTTGTCTCATAGAACTGAAGGACAGCTTGACCCGTATGAGCATGGATTTGAAGAACAATGTTTTTGGATCATTACGGACGGCGTGGCAGTCCTTCGCCAGGATCCCCGTGGCTGCACTTCCCCCATTGGACGAAGCAAACACTACAATAGAGAACGACCTCCAAGAGTCACAGGGTAGAAACATGACTTTTTATTTGACTGTGATTTCTGTGTGTGCACAAGAGTTTCTCTGACCCAGTCTCCTTATACTCTCTCACCCCTCTCTGCATGTTGCCACCTTTTTCCACCCTACCTTTTATTGCTCTATCTGGTGGTTGGTCTGGATCCATCATCCTTTACCACTTTACCGTGAACTTCAGCCTCAGCGGCAGTCTCTGCTTCTGCTAAGAGGGAAGAGCAAAGGGCTGATTTTTGGACTAAAGTACTGGAATGGCCCAGGGCCCTTCATAAGTATAACTTACAAGGTAAGCCAGGTTAGTCACTTGGCTACAGCAAGAGAAAACCAGTAAAGCCAGCTTACTTCTCGTTTTGCAATCTTGTTTTCTCTGCAAAGTGTCAACCTCCAAGCCTATATAAACTTGTCATTCATTCTATATTTTCCGTTTTAACTTCCCAGGCTTTAATCTGGAAAAAATAACATGCACAAAAGAGGCAAAACTGTATACTTCGACTACCTGTTTGCATGCTGTAGTACCTGCAGAATTTCATAAACTTGGAAGGACTCCATAACTGTATTTTACTTTGGCACCTCATCTCCCTCACAAAGACTAAATGTTTATGTACTGTGTTGCATTTTTCCCGCAGGCTCTCACTAACCTTCGTTTCGGACTGCACTACTGCTGATACTAATCTTGTCTTCAACTCAAAATGCAACATTCTGAGATCCCCCTGAGGCCTTTCCCTCCTAACCCCTCCTGTTGACGTCTAGTTGATTCATTAATCAACGTCATTGTCAGCAACAGATGCTACTTGACTAATCTTCCCATGGCGTAATCTTGAAAGTGCTGAACAATCAGGACGAGTTATATTGTAGTGATTACAGTTGTGTTTTCAGCAAAAGTTATTCAAACAGTAGGTAAAGTCAATATTGAGTCACCTACATTTGCTACATGCAGATACAAGTCCTGCTCTTTTTTGTAATTGTTCAACTACTCAGCCTGTTGGTTCATTACATAGGTCAAGGGGAAAACAGGTTCCACTAGAAAAACAGAGAATTAAACACAATCCCTTTTTTTAAAACTTGGAACTCTCTTATATTTAAGAGGGTTAAGCACTTTCTGACAACCCCTACAACCTTCACCTGTTCTATCTGTTGTGTAGGTTTGTAAGATCTGAAATAATTAGTACTAAAAGCCAAGGTCATTTGAGGGTAAGAAATTATTTTAATGTCCGAATAACAAGCTAGTAAATGCTGTAAACATCCAGTAGTTAAGAGGTCATTGTCAGTGCATTGGGTGTTTGTGGAGATACATCTTAATATAACAATGCATTCTTAACATTGCAACAAATACATCATTCACTCATCGCAAAACTCACCGACCTAACTGAAATTGACTTAGCACCATACCTGCCCCTATGGCTGAGTCAATGCATGAACACAGCCTCACTTAAAACGCAACCTTTAAAACCTCTATGATTCATTATAGACATCCATTCAGTACTAATCCAAGCATCGTTGTACCAAAACGTTCAACTGCTAAAAAACGTGTGAGTACTCGCAGCCAAGTAGATATTCTGGTTTCTTGCCCAAATTACAATTGCTTTCTAACAGGAGGTCTGTGAAGTTTTGCAGGGCTTTGAGAGTCTCCCATTTTTGGCTTAGGTAGCTTTAAAGTTCTTGAATTACGCATTTAATAAGCTGTGAAAATCTTTCTCTTGTAGATTACTGTGAGTTTTATTCACCCGCAAACAAGCTGTCCATTTCCTGATGTGGTGTAGTTGGACCAAAAAGCTGCTGCTGGCTTTTGTCTTTGTTTTTTGTTGTCTGTTTTCTGCCTTTACAGCCACATTATGTCTATGCAGGAACATGTGAGGAGGCAGAGTCCTCAGAATCAGCAGAGCAGAGGGAGCAGCCTGAGATTAAAGTGGGGATGTTGAACGAAGGAAGAAGGATCGACTACGTACTTCAAGAAAAACCCATTGAGAGCTTCAACGAGTACCTGTTTGCTATCCAGTCTCATCTGTGTTACTGGTGAGTCCTGCATACTTGTGGAGGGTGCTATTTTGTTTTTCCAAAATGTCTCAAATAAATGACATTTCCCCTCTCTGTCTGTCAGGGAATCGGAGGACACTGCTCTCCTGCTGCTAAAGGAGATCTACGACAAGCTAGGTGTAGCCTTTGAACAGCCACAACAGTAATAAAGTTTTTTGAATGTAGACTTGATTTTAACTTGACAGCTACCTGAAAGGGAGACAGTGAAGGACAGATGTCAGAGGCTGCACAATCCTCTCCCAGAATGCCTTATTGTCCGGGTGTCACCAGACTGCCCCGCCCTCCCTGACAATAGAGACTGTTAAACTGCAGTCAGGCAGGGTATCAGTCAACCTTCATTTGAGGTAGCCGGGGCTTCTTGGTGCTGCAGGACTAATGTCTGATAGTTGTTTTAAATCCACCTGAACATCTCGGTCATTTTCATTTCATTTCAAACCGCTCCTGATCGCACTTTTCTGTCTACACCAAGTCATTTTTCTTTTACATACCTTTGCACTTTTATTTTCCAACAGTTGTTGACATATCATGAGTACAGCTGCAGCTGAAAAGTAAAATAATCATCATGATAACCAGAAGATACACACAGTTGGAAAAACCGAATATCAATGTATTTGACGACAAAAAAGATCCTTAAAAATGACCCGAATATATACAGTGTGTGTATAAATGAAATAGATTATTATTTATTTCCCAGCCCTATGTACATCCTTGAAAAGTCAGAAATGTAGAACTATGAACATAATTTAAGTGGCAATAGACACTTTTTTTGCTTTAATTGATTATTATAAAATGTATATTGATTACACCATGTAGAATGTATAGTTTGACTATCGGCATTACATTGGTTTCTTATTAGCCTCGTTTTAACTATGCAAAACTGACTGATTAGATCTCCTGGCCAAATGAAAGCTTGATTTACAGCAAGACGTGAAATATTGCCCACTTTTTCGGAGTGTAACGTTAAAAAGTCACTGAAAGTTGCCAGATGACATCCTACACTCATTTGCATTTTGGTAACATCATTGTGGAATCATTTGCATGTTTTCGCCTGCACAAAGTGCAAGAGGAGAGTGAGCAATCGTATGTTGTTGGTAGAATAACTGTTGTTATTAGTAGGCTCTATAAAAGGGAATCAAAATCTAGTTGTCTCTTTATTGAATAAGTGCAATCAACCTTTAAAACACAAATTCAGAACAGCTGCACAAACAATAATTCAACTTTTAAACAATGAAAAGTTGTCTATTTGCCACTTTAAGTGTTTAAACTTGAACAAGGAAGCTCTCCTTTAGCCTAACATTCAACCTTACCTTTATAAATAAGCAGGTCTGCTGGTTTTATTTCGATGACAATAAAATTGTTTAGGTTTTGAAGGGAAATGAATATTGATAATTTGTCTACTGGCAGCTATATTTCCTTTCTGTCAAAAGTAAGGCCCAATTTAAACCCAATATTACACCTACATACATTTGTGCAATATTACAACAATGTAGATGTGACTTATTTTTCATTTCACAGGCGTGGTCCACAATTCTACTTCAACTAATAATATGTTTACTTGCAATGTGTATTTTATTTTTTCAGTTTATTTTTGTTTGTTTTTAGTTTAAACCAATCTATATTCTAAAATAAGGGATCCTGATGAATATTTGTGTCAGAAATGATCAAGGGATGCAGGGGAATTAAAAGGACAAGCTTGTGTGTATGTATGTTCAGAAAGGCCAGCTCTATCTCTCTGAGGTCTGTGCCATTCATTCCTTCTGTCTGTGTCTCCCAATAAGAGTGTATTCTTTATCCCAAAACATGGTTAATCCCAATACAGAGTGGCATCTCAGATACATAATTCTAACTTTTGTATTATCTAAGGGCCAAATGCTACATGTTTCTCTCAACTGTTCCTTTGTATCAAGGAATTGTAAAGTCATATTCTGTACTGCATGCACTTTTCATAATGTAACAGAAGGGTTTCTCAACAGTTTCTGATCCTGACCTTAATCTAAGGAACAGAAATTATTTTCACAAACCCAGCAATAAGGAGAGTTATCACTTTTAATTTGATTAAATTGAGTATGTTACCTTGATTATATAGAAATTATGTTGCAATGCATATCAATTTATTTTTGTCTAAAAATATACACAACAAATATCAATGTGTCAGTGATATCACACATCTGCACCATCAAGCAACATGGGGTACAGACTAAAACGTTGACAAGCAGGGTGTTTTAGTATTTAAACTTTACAAAACAACCCATACGATATGCACTGTCAGGGCAACACAGCCCAAGCACTAGAGCTCCGCACAAAACATGAAGAAACCTCACAAGGTTGTTCATTTTCTTCCAATAAGTTGCACTGAATATGAATGATCATTGAACATCACCCGTGTCTCTGTCATGTCCGTTTCAGTAAAACAGGACTTAAAGTCACGAACTCCTCTTCCTTGACATGAGTACTGTTTTTGCACTTGATACTTAAATATTTAAATAACCAAAAAAAATGTTCTCATTTCTAAATACACACCCTATGATAACATGTTGTGTGTGCCATAATAAAAACTTTACAAGTCTCTTGTTGTTCTTAAGAATTCATACAAGCATGCTTTCATTGGATTGGAAACACAACACTTTCAGCCGTTTTTTAGTATGTGTATCATATTTTCCCAGGACATCAATGAATGCCCAAACTCACTACATCATTTCCACATATTGAGCTAGTTTGAAATTATGAATGCACATCATATATACTGTAATCCAGCTAAAGTCTATCATAAGCAAACAGTTCCACATTCAGAACGTTATTTATTGATCATTGTGACTGGCATGTAAAATACGTTTTCAAACAATAAACGCTTCCAGTGTTGTGTTCAAAAGTGAATTCAACTTGTTTGTAAATAAATACATTTGGAAATTATTCTGTTCACAGTTAAATGTTATATAAGACTCTAAAGTGTCTGTAGCTCGTGAGATAGTGCGTTAATCTTTGAACAGGGGAGCACTGGTTCTATCCCCACTGCAGTCAGCATGTCGTTGTGTCCCTGGGCTAGACACTTCACCCCAAATTGCTCCTCTGGGGATTGCCCACATTATTGAATGTACTAAGTCACTTTGGATAAAAGTGAATTTACCTGATCTTGTTTGAAACACTGAATTGTAAAGGGTATAGCCTTATCCATTACCAAACAACATGTAATTGTAAATCCCTAAAAAGGTTTCCCTTTGGCTGAAATCTTACAACAATTTTATTATTTTCGTTATTTGTTCGATTTGAGCTGCGAAATGTGGCTCGTAGGACTTTGTCATAACTTTAAATATTTGTCTTTCATAAAACCAAGTTTTCAACAACCGTTACTGTGACAAGCTACTGGAGCATGCGCAGTCGTGAGGAAAACACAGCATCACGTTCAGCGGTAGAATTGACTAGCAACCCTGGACAACAACAATCAAAGGCAAGTTAAACTCTTATTGTTGTTGTATACGTATGTTTTATCTATATTCCTCAGAGCTATTGGCTACATTGTGTCCTCATTCATGTTCTTTTATCTGCCTAGTCTATTATGTATTCGTACTTTGCAGCGCTAATAACTTTAAGCTGTCACGTTGTCAGAGCAATGCTCAAGTCTCTGTAAGTATCTGGCTTACAACAAGAGAAACGTATTCATACCATAAGTCATTGTAAATACCACGCTAAATGTGCTTAATGCTCATTTGTTTGTTGTTTGTGAATGCTTTGTGATACAAGCCATTCAAGAGGTAGGACCTCCATAGCTAGCCTCATGTGATTTATCTCAGTGGGAGAAAGTTATGCACTAAAGCCTCTCAGTTATTCTCGAAGGCGGGCCTGTCCTACGCAACACTGCCTGAGCCAGCAGAGGGGTTTTAGCCATTTATATTTGACAGACTATCAGGATGGGACAATCTGGAATCAGGAGGTATGATTTTACTTTAATCATTAAGAGGCTCTGTTGTGTTGACACAACACTAAATGTTGGTTAAGACATGTCTCACTAGCCTTATCCATTTTTACATTAAGCTACTTTAGTTTTTCAGAAACACTGGAAGCATTTAGCTAACTTTAACCCTAATTTTGAATTGTGTACATTTTTGTAAGGGGGTAAGAGGTCCAATTGGACTGATTGTTTTATTAAATGAATGCAAATAAGCCTAGCTTTGAGTACTGTGCGTGTGTGCGTGTGTGTGTGTATTGTCATGCTAAAACTCAAGTGGGGGGTTTGGGGTCACACTCACAGCAGGTAGCGGGAATGTGGCACAACAAGTGGGGCTGTGTTTTATGCCGCCTTCTCTCCCTCCATCATCTTCCATCCCTCCCCCTGGATCTGAGATCTGGTATTCAGCGGACTAACAATAGAAGATACTCTTTCACGCTTTTTTTTTAAACCTAATTATACACCAACTCTATCTCCCTCCTTCCCTGTTTACTCTCTCTGTTTCTCTTTCTCACACACACACACACACACACACACACACACACTCCAATCTCCATCCACCCCCCTCCACCTCCTTGGACTTAGTGTGCTTTAAACAACCCCCGTCACACACACCACCTCTCTGCCTTTCTCCTTCTATAGGATACTGCCTGACAAGGGAATGCAATCTGACTTTGGTGTGTGTGTGTGTGTGTGTGTTTAAGTGAGAGGGAAAGAGTGATAAATCGGAGGGTGTGGAGAAGCACAGCGAGGAGGCGGGACTGTCAGCTATTCATGTGTGATCAGTGGTACTCCTGAGTGTTTTGACTGTACAGCATCAGCAGAGAAGGGACACGGAGAGGAGGAGAGGCTAAATAATGCCAGGCTGTCCAGAGGAGAGGCAGAGGTGAACCTTTGGAGGACAACAAAGGGACGTACGCAGCGTCTTTGGGAAGCCTGAAACAAACACAGACTCGGCGGCTGTTACCATGGGGGGATCCTTCAGCCAAAACAGGAAGGGCTCCTTCAGCTCTACTCGGAAGAAGAGCAGCATGTAAGATGTGATGCTTCATTGTTTGTGTGGACAAGCTTTTAGTGAGAACAGGAAACTTGTGGGTGAGTGGGTGCACTTGACAGTAGATCAATAGCGCCCTTTGCTACTTGTGTTGTCTTGTGTGTATGGACCATAGACTGTATATATAATGTATGAACTAAGCACTTTTGTATCGGATAGTGGAAGAGGAAGTGTGAGATAAGGGGTTGAAGGGCAGTGCTGACACCTCAATGCTTCCTTCAGAGCCAGGGCTTTCCCTGCTGGAATGAAAGCAAAGGGACTGCTCTGCAAACAACCTGTCCTGTCGTGCTATTTTGGTATTCAAATCTAAGGAAATCGAGGGAAGAGGCAGAGTGCTACAGCTGGTGACATTATGAGAGAGGCTAGTGTAATGAGCATCATGCTCCTAGAATTCAAGTCTAAGTGTCATTGGTTCTAATATTTTAGCAGCAGCTTTTGTAGTTACAACTGTAGAAGAGATAATGCTGCCTCTGCTGTGACCTTAATTCTAAAGTGGTGTTTTAATTATACAAGCGGTTCTTTGGGTCTGGGCAGACATAGAAGGACACATCGTCCTGTTCTGATCACGCAGTGTTAGGAATCCTGAAAGTGCCGTATGACCTGCGGCTGACTGGAGCCTTTCATCTTGTCAAAATGAAGGGAAATGAAGATGCTGTTGCTGAGGCATTTGTCAGAGCTTAAAAGCATGCTCCCTCTTCTTTTCCTTTAATCTTTTGTAACAGAGAGCGAGTCCTTTCACTTGTCCCCTGATCCCAGTGATGCTTTATATTGTTTAAGCTTCTCTATGCCCCTTGTAGCGGAACACTTTCCCTCGACAGATGTAAATGCACAGACATATTTCAGCCAGCCTATTCCTAAATGTCGCTGTGTTCACTCAGTGATCCAAGTCATGTTGTAAACATCATCAGCAGTGGTGCTGCCGGACTGAAGCAGATGTTTTTGTTTTGGATGAGGCAGGAAATCACGACCAGTAAGGCAAGGATGTCAGAGATCAGAAGACTGAGACGACGAGGCCATGTCAAAGAAATGATCATTGTTATTTTTGTGTTTATTTTAAATCTCGCTGATCACAAAAGCATACTGTAGTCCTCTGGATCTGTGTTATTGTTAGGGCAGATGGGGGCTGGGGTCCTCCCTGTGGGAAAAAGCTAACCAGTGCCGTGGGATCTCAGTTTTCTAATTTTAGTTGCCTTAATCATCCGTGTTATGGCCTAACTGGAGCAGTCTTTGATGTGCAGTAGACTTCCTGTTCTCCAAAACCCAGACAGTTCCTCATTTGGGAAGAGCTGACTTTCATTTGGAGCTCATTTAATGCTGCAATGTTATGAATATAGGCCAGTGTAGGCCGAACAACTGGGATAATCATTTGAGATACAAAGACATTGTGAATACATGAATACGCAAAATGTGAAGATGTACACTTTAATTATGCATAAGCCTTTGCTGACTAGGCGTGCAAGAATGAAAGTCTAACTCAGGGCAGAACGATGTCGAAGTTAATAAATAAAAACCCTCAGTTGAACAAAATGGTAGAAAACATATATGGCATTTTAAAGGGACAAAACACTGTACAGACAACACTATGTAATTACACACCGAGGAAAACATTGTTCTTATTATTAGCCATGCCTGCTAATATAACCCCCTTAAATATTATACGGTTTAAAGGGATTTTAATGTAGTTTAAATGGATTTGTCGGGAATGGAAACACGTGTTACCTCCCGGCTCTGTGCGTGCATGTGTGTACAATGTTCATGCACTTCTGTCTGGTAATTGTGTGCTCTTGTGTCTCTGTTGTAGTCAGGAACAATAGCTCGGCTGGTGCCTGTTCGTGACTCTTCTGGGGTAAACCCCCCCTCTCTCTTTTCCCTTGTTCCTTCATTCTTTCCCCCCTTTTGTTTTTATCATGCCTCCATCAGTTTAGATATTCCTGTGTAATGTAGCACGGTGAGTGCATCGACCTCATTCAGTCTGACTCTGTTCACCCCATGCTAGTTTTCTGCTCTGATTGCAGCTAATTGGGGGTTCCTTATTAGAATTGCTAAGATATCAAGAATGTAAAAACAGTAGAACATTAGATACTTTAAGGTAAGGCAAGGCAAGTTTATTTATATAGCACCTTTCAACACAAGGCAATTCAAGGTGCTTTACAAAAATAAAAGACATTCAGACAAAGGCATTTAAAAACAGTCATTAAAAATAAAAGATAATAAAAGAAACATTAAAAGAAAAAATACATGAATAAAAAGTTACAGTGCCGTTTTAAGATATAAATAGTTCACACAAAAGCATCTCTCTTTATATTGTGTCCCTCTGAGATTTCTGCATCCTGTTAAATTCTGAATTAAATTGTGAAAAATAACAAAAGATATAAAGGAAATATCATCAGCAGTATGCTACTTTCTCTCTCTCCTTCTGTCTCTGTGATATGCATGTTTCCCGAGTGAAATACACTAGTGACCATTTCCCAAACGTTGCAATGATGAAACCAGAGATCCTGTCAACTCCCATAGGTGACGTCAGACCTGTTTTTTGTCTCTCTTGTTCTCCCACTCACAGCTATTCTTC